GGGGCCCCCCCCCCCGCCCCTTTTTCCCCCCCCCCCCCCCCATCATCCCCCTCCTCCAAACGCTCTTCCCTCCCGGCTTCCCTCTCCCCTCCCGCTTTGGCGCGGCCTCTCCCAGACCGGAGGAAGCACGCACTGACAGGCACGCACAACTTTCTGCGCGACTCGCTCCTCCTCTGGGTACACCCGCATGCGACTCCCCCGGCCGACGCCGTCAACGAGCGCCGCTTGCTCGAGCGCGCGCAAGAGTGCGGCGCCATTGTCGTCGAGATGAGTGGAGGCGTCCGCTCTCCCCACCCCCACCCGCAGTGTCTCTCACCCGCCCGCCCGCCCGCCAGCTGGTCTCCGGTGCACCCCGCGCCTCAATCGGGCGTACGCCCGCCCTAGGTGCTCTCCCGCTCGAATGGGCCCCCTTCACCGGTGCTCGCGCCTACGCGGTGGCCAGCCACGGCGCAGAGTGCGCACCGCTGGCGGCGCAAGCGGTGGCGGCGCGGCCGCTCGACAGCGCGGCGCACCGGACGCGCGCCGCCAGCTGGGACTGGCTGGAGCAGTCTCTGCAGCAGCGGCGGGTGCTCTCCGTCTCGGAGCACCCTCTCCTCAAGCCCCTCGAGGCGCGGCTGCCGCTGCCCGGCTTCCGCGAGCTCAAGATGTCGCTGACTGGCTTCGAGGTGCGCGCCGCGGCCGGCGGCTCGCGCGCTACGCCGTGCGAGATCGCGCACTGAGCGCGCGCGTGGTTCGTCTTGCAGGCGGAGTCAGCGGGCCGCGAGCTCACAGCGCGCCTCGTCTCGCTGTTGGGCGCGAAGGTCCAAGAGAAGTTCAAGCGCTCCTCGACGTGCCTCGTCCCTGCGGGGCAGCGTTTGCGAGGCCAACGCTTCACACGCGCGCGGCGTGACTAGGCACCTCGTCGCCGCGGGCGAGTGGGGAGGCGACAAGTGCAAGCGCGCGGCAGAGCTGCGCACGCCCGTGGTTCCGGTCTCCTGGCTTCTCGAGTGCGTCAATCGTGGCACGTGCGTCGGCACCTCGCCGTTCGAAGTGCTGCCGCCGGCCGGTGCGCCCGCTGCCGTGCCGTTTCCGGCCGCCGCGCCGCCCGCCGCAACGTCCGCCGCGGCAGGAGGCGGCGCGATGGCGCACGATGCGACGGTGAGTTGCGGGGCGGGCCGGGGTTTCGGCGAGAAGGAGGAGGAGGCCATGAGAGTGGACCGGGAGGACGGCGGGGCGTACCCGAGGTCCTCCTTCCTTGAGGTCTACGGCGATCGCGAGGGGGCCCGCCGCTGGATGGACGCCGCCCCCGTCGCTGGCGGCGATGTGGCGGCCGCCTCTGCGCGCGCGCCACATTTTGCCGCCGTGACGCCGAGCGCATCCTCCGCGTTTGGGTCGTCCTCGTCTGCGGCGGCGAGCGCCCGCCGCACCTCGCTGGGCGGCGCAACGCCTCGTGGTGCGCCGACGCCCGCCAGCCATGGCGGCGGCGGCGGCCGTCGCAGCAGCGCGATGAGCTCCGACAAGCGCCGGCGCCGGCAGAACCCGCCCGCGCAGAGCCCTCGCGTCTATTGCGGCATCCTCCAGCCGCCACAGCCGGGAGATGCTTCCGCCGCCTCGACGGCTGCCGCTCTGGCCGAGGCGGCACCCCCAGTTGCGCCGCTGCCCAACTCGGACGAGGGCAGCCTTTGCACGCCCGGGGACGCCGCTGCCACGGAGCCGCTCGACCACAAGGCGCCCTCCTCCTCTTCCAAGGGCTCCTCCTCCTCGTCCAAACGGCGCTCGCCTGCTGCAGCGATGGGTCCACCCCCTTCGAGGCAGCCGCGCGCCTCGTGCTCGCCCGCTGCCGCCGCGCCCGCTGCCGCCGCTTCGGGTGCTGCCGCTTCTACTGCCGTCTCCGACGCCGGGCCTTCCCGCCACGTCAACCTCGGCGAGCTCGACGGCGGGCTGGCGAGGAAGGGGACGGTGGCCAGTGCGGAGGAGCTTTTGCAGCAGCTTCCGGGCTCCGGCCACGATTCGCTCGCTGCATGCACACGCGCGCCGGGTGCGCCTCCGGAGGACGGCGCCTCGGAGTGCTCGGGGTCGAGCCGGCGACCAGTTCGGCGAGCAGAGATTCGCTCCTCGGCGAGCGATTGCCGCGTCGGGGAGGGCCAGCCGCAGGAGGGCGACGGTGAGGTGCGCTACGTGGACTACGGACAGCAGGCAACCGCCCCCCCCCCCCCCCCTCCCTCCCCCCACCGCCCGCCCGCCCCAAACACACCTACACCTACGCGCGCGCCGGGCGCGGGCCCTCCTGCTTTACCGCCCGTGAGGCGCCCTCCACCGCGCCATCGCAAGCGTCGCAGGAGCGGCAAGAGCAGATCAAGGCCCGCATGCTCGCTGCGAGTGGCAGCGCCGCCGCCGCCGCCGCCGCCGCCCCCCCCCGAGGCTGTGCGGAGGCATCGGCTGGTGCACGCGGCGGCGGCGGCGGTGGCGTGGGCGCTACAGGCGGGGAGGCGCAGCACCGGCCGGAGCTCGACCTCGTGATGAGCGTGCAGCGTGAGCAGCTGGCCGCCCAAGCGGCGCCACCAGCCATCGCCGCCCCACCCGCCGGCGCGCCCCACCCAGGCCAGGGCGGCCTTTTCGCCGCGCTTCACGCCGGCGGCAAGAGCGGCAAGGCGCTTGCAGAACAGCGGATTGCGCCGCCGCCGGAGCAGGCTGCCGGTGGCTCGGCGGACGCGGCGGACGCGGCGGGCGCGGCGGGCGCGGCGGGCGCGGCGGGCGAGAATGCGGCTAGCACCGCCGCTGCGAAGCAAACACCGACGAAGCGGAGGAGCACACGGAGCGCTTCGGCGAAGGAGGGCTCCGGCAAACGCGACTCAGGTGGCAAGCGGTCGCGGCGGGGCGAATGATCGGGCACAAGTGGCGGCGAAGGGCATATCTGGGCGCACAAGCGTCTCAACTTGTCAGCGCACGTCGTCGCGTTCGCTCGATGGTGTGTCCCGATTTTGCGCGGCATGAATTTGACGTCTGTGGCTGCATGTTCGGGGGTCGACGTCTCTGGGAGAATGCGCGGTTGGGTGGTTGCGGATTGGGGGGCGGCGCGTACTCTATTACGTGCGTGAGAGGTAGAGCTTATGTGGGTGTTAGAGTTGTTTGGTATTGCTAAAATCTCTCTCTCAGAGTCTCAGTGGACAGAGTGGACGACACACAGGGGCCCGCAGTGCGGGTCTCTCCCTCACAGTGCGCGGGTGTGACACTCTCAGTCTCTCATCTCCCCAACCGCAGTCATCACTGCGAATCACTGCGCGCGCGCCGCGGGGGGTTTTGTACAGGTAAAAACCGATATCGTACAACATCACTTCACTCCTAGTGCCCAGAGCTCCTCGAACAAATGATGCGCCGCCGCTGCCTTGCCCGCCGCTAACCTCAACCCGCGCACGGTGTCCGTCCAAGTCGAGTATTTCGAGCCGATGAAGGTGTGCGCCCGCAGCGACAACTCTTGCTCGACGAGCGAGGCAAAATAGTTTGACTGCACCTCCGCGGCAGGTGCCGCGCCGTCGGGCGCGTGTCCCTCCGCAGTCAAAGCCTCCTGGAGCACCTCCTTGGCGCATACAGTGCGCACGGCACGCCGGGAGAGCATCAGAGCCATCCGCGACAGGCGCCAATCAGAACAGTTCATGTTCGTGGCGACGAAGAGGGTGCGCTGCTCGGCGGAGCGCAATGCGTACCACACCTGACGAGGAGAGCGGTCCACTCAACGGGAGGGAGCACTGGAGTGAAATGCGCAGTAGGATGTGGATGCTCAGGCGGGGTTGGAGGGCAGGCCAGCAGGTTGGGCGAAAGGGGAGCGCTCGCAGCTTGGGCTGACAGGAAATACACCGCACCTCCTGCGCGAGGGAGGTGTAGTTGATGACGTTGGTCCCGTCCCCGCACGAGACTGACGGTACTGGAACGCCGTTGATCGAATGATGGCAGTCCGAGTGCTCCCAGTGCGCGTCTGCCACGCGGATATGCGCCGCTACGTAGTCGCCGTGCGTCAGGTTGAGCTCAGCAGCTACGCGCTCCGCCACCGAGAGCACTGGCCCCGACCAGCGCAGTGGCAGAAAAGCGCGGTCGCGCAGCCCGACCTCGCGATCGTATGAGTGGTACCCGAGGTAGCGCGCCCGCGCTGCCGCTGCTCGCTCGCGCCTCTCGTCGGGTTGGTCCATGCTCGTGAAGTTGGAGCAGGAGAGGCCGGCGAGCCGGAGGTAATCGCGGAAGCCGGCGTCGTCGGTGTGCGACGAGCCCAGCGCGAGGCAGAGTTCGAGTTGGCCCTCGGTGAGCGTGCGGAAGGTGGGAAGCTCGATGGTGCGTACGAATTTTGCGAGGTGGGCTGCGTCGAAGGTCGAGTTGAACGGAAAGGAGAGCAGTGCGATTGCGCGGTCGCGCGACGGTACGGGCGGCGCGCCGGGGTGGAGGTGGAGAAACTTTGGGTTGTGGGGCAGCCACACGGGTAGCACAAGGGTGCGGTTGAGAGCGCGTGCCTTGGCGACGGCGACGCGGAACTGCAAATACTGGTTGTTTGGGCCTTGATCGAGCAGTGGCAGCAGAAACTTTCTGCTGCGATATCGCAGCCGCAGCCGCTCTGAGGCGCTGAGCGGCGGCGGAGGAGGAGGGGCGCCTCCTCCTTTGTGCTGGCGGCCGGCTGTGGAGTTGTTTGCATCGCGGGACGGCGGGTGGTTGAAGGCGACGAAGGTTGGTTCGACGCCACGCTTGTGCCGGATCCGCTTTCCGTTCTCATCGAAGTCAACGCCGCGCGAGGTGCCCGAGGCGATGTGCTGCCGCTGCTGGAGAGTGAGATGTGAGTAGGGGTCAAGGAAGGAGGACGTTGACGCGGTTTCAGCGACGACTCGTCGTCTGCTGCCGCCACGTTCACCCCTCCCGTCCCGTCTAGTGCTGCTGCCGACAGCGCCCTCCCCGTGGGCTTCGGCTGTCATCAGTGGAGGCTGCGGCGCTGCGGTGGCAGCGGCGGGTGGCCGCAACGCTGACGTTGCGAGACCTCGCTTTCCGCCGTACGCGGCTGCGGCGTAGCCTGAATCGGTGGTTCTGCTGTAGAGGGAGAGCATGCTGCACACGCAAAAGAGGAGCGCACAGGCAAAGAGCGCTCCAGCCAGTGGCAGCAGGCGGCGGCGTGCCCATAGTGCGAACGAGCGCGGCGTTGGTGGTCCGGCGTGGTCGATGAGTGGCAGAACCGCCTCAGTCTCAGCCTCATAGTCTCCACGGAGGGCACGCACAGGCGGCTCCTTTCGCGTTCCACTGTACGTCCCAGGTGGCAGCTGCAAAAGGAAGGAGCTGGGGAGGTGTGTGGCGATGCTGGGTCGGCGTGTGCGAGCGCAGCCGGATTGCGATGGCATTCACGAGCAGCAGCTGAGCGTTCAGCGTCGCGCGCGAAGACGCGAGGTGTTGCCCCTGCTGTGTTAGGTATGTGGTGCCCGCCGATGGTCGGCGCTAGCTTTCTTCTTGCTCCGCCCGCACTCTTTGGTAAACTTTTTTATTTTTGTGTATCTTAAGGTACGTCCTTTGTTCTCCGGGATTGTGTTTGGTGGAATGCTTTCCAGTAGTGTTATTCTTTTCGCACAGAGGGCACGCGAGGTACGACCGTGCCCGGCCGTGCTATTAAAGCGACTCGGCTCTCTAACAGGCTGCAGCCCAGAGCCACACGGAGTCTACGCACATCACTTGTGCATAGCCTCGACCAATCTCCTGTTCACGGTGGAACCGTGAACAAAGAGCTTCTTCGAACCGTTACAAACACGACGCGAGCCGCCCAGCAGGGAGCCTGGGCGACTCGCTTTGACGCTGGCCAGGCCGGAGGCGAGTGCCGCCGCCAGGCCACGACCGCCCGCGCCCGTCCTACGGACGGGCGCAATGGGCCAAACGGATCCGCGCCGCAGTGCGTGCAGCGCTGCGCCGCCAGTCCAATACATGCAAACCGCAGGCTTTGCAGCGAGGACCAGCCTGCTCAGCTTCGAACGAGGAGCCAGCAGCCAACAGGAGGACAGCAGTCGTCCACGCCAGCTGGAATGCGAGGACCGCCCCAGCCGCAGGTGGCCCCATATGTAATGCTTTGCACAAAGCACCGTGCAAAAATGGCGTCTTTACATGGCCATGCAGCAAGCAGTGCCGCCAGATGAGCACACGGCCATGGGCGAAGTGCACCCGCGGGGCCAGCTGGCATTGCGTGGTGCACTCGCAAATCAACCCGCCCTCTCGTGCCAAGGACGGCGCGAGGGGAGCGCGAGCATCCACCAGCAGCCGTCTGGCTGCTGGTGTGAGCCATACTCAACACGCCGCGCGGAGCGGAGTGCGGAGCCATGAATGAGCAGTAGAGCCGAGGCACGGCCTGCGGCTCCTACCCTGCCGTCGGCCCGCCACTGGCGGCGTCGAGGACAGTTCGAGACGGTGTGCGGTGTCAGCCTGTGAGGCGCACTGCACTCGAACTGCACTAGTGGAAGCACCAACACGGCCCTCGGGCTGTTTGGGGACCCGGACGCCAACGGCCCCCCGGGAGAGGGGTGTCCTGGTTGTGTCTTGTCTGAGTGCCAGCGCACGCAGCTATCTTAACGGCGTGAGGTCAGCAAGAGCCCTCGCGGCGTCGTGCAGTCTGTGAGGGTGTGTGCCTGCACGGACTGCACAAGTAACAAATCACTCCTGTCGGCATTCCTCCGGAATGGGGCGACAGAACACGTGTTATTCCGTAGTCGGGATGACCACAAATCGTCAGGGCACTCAAGAAGAGGCCAGCCGGCACTTCGAGCTGCGCTCGACATGGGGATGCGCACAGTCAATATATGTCAATGCGCGCCGCGCGAGCGAGTCCAAAGACTCCGCGGTCGCGAACTTTCCGAGAAGGAAGACAAGTGGGGCGGCGGCGTCGATAGATATCGACGCCGCCGTCGCCGCGCATCATGACGAGTTCGCATTCCCCATGTGAACCCCCATACCTCACCTTCGAGACAAGCCAGGGTTCAACCCAATGGACCTAGTGTGGCGTCGAGGCCCGCACTGTCTGGACATGCGGGCCGCGGCTGACAGAACGGCTCTGGGCCGGCGCGGGGGCCCCAGAGGGTGTCCATGCGGGGGGGAGATGGGGTCCCCTGGCCCGCCGCAGGCGCCGATTTTTTTGGAGTTTTTTTCTTTTTTCGCGATTTTTTACTTGTTTTCATGGGAATTCGGCGTACTTGCGGCCATGCTATCACGCCTTGCGACAGCCTGTCGGCGCTGCTGACCGTGCCATGATGCACAATTGATCACCTGCATAGCTCGCGGCCTTAGTATCAAGCATTCAGTGACGACCTGATCGTACGGCCAGTAGGAAGGTGTCCTTCCAGCTGCGTGCACGCTTCTGGCGCAATGCGCGTCACCTCGGATTGGCTGCTGGCACTCTCGAGGCTATGCCTACACAGCCTCGCGCGCATGGGCAGTCAAGAGGGACCACGCACCTTCTCAGGACAGCGCCGGTGCCTCTCTCTTGGACCGGCAAACTTGGTGGTCTCGTGTCACCA